CACCTCAAAGGACAAATGAGGGCATATTGGCATAAATACTGCACATCACATGCTAATTTGTAGGTCTAGATGCAAATATAGAAGCAGTTTCCGTAATTTAAATTGCAGTACAGTAGTGGGGGAAACCGTGACCAGGTGAGTTGTGTGTACCTGCTTGATCTGCTGTCCAGGTGATGGGCAACTTCAAAGCATCTCCTCTCCCACCGTAGGGTTCTTCATCTTTAAACAGGACTTGAACTGGCCTTTCAAGCAGAACAGAAGTGGGGAACCTGGTCCCGCCCCCCCATGTCACTGAAATACAATTCCCATCTAGCACTGCAGTAAAGCTGCTAACACATTTTTGCAAAAGCTAAGCAGGGTCTGGTGTGGTTTCAAATTGGAGTGGGGGTTGTGTGTTGAGATTCCTAGATTGCTGGGGTTGGACTAGATGACCCTTGGAGTCCTTTCCAGCTCTACAATTCTAAGATTCTATGGTCCCTTATCACTGGCCATTTTACTGGGGCTGGTGTGTCTTGCGAGTCCAAAAGCAACTGGAGATTCCCTATCCCTGAAATAAAGAACTGTCCTCTGCTGTTTATGTATGGTATGGCCTCTCACAAAAGCTGCCAAGATGATCAATGGAACAAGGCAGGTTTTCCCAAACTTGAGTCTCCAGCCATTTTTGGACAACAATTCCTATCATCCTTGACTTCTGGTCCTGCTGGCTAGAGACAATGGGAGTTGTAGTCGAAAAACAGCTGGAGACCAAAGTTTGGGGAACCCCAGAAGAAGGGAAGCAGTCAAAGTCTGCCTTATGGGATGTTATTTTTGAGAATTAGGGAATTTTGTTCATGCTAAGAAGTAGTGTCTTGTTGCTCTGTTTTTGTGTGTGAAACCACTGCACCAACCTCTATTCTCCTTTTTTCCTTCTGCCACGTGGTCCAAATTGTTAAGGGGTTTCACATACTCGAAAGCCTGGCTAGTAGCTAGTTCAGTCCCAGCCAAAGAGATGGAGCAAAGGCTGGCTTGAAGAGGAGTAATGGAATACAGACTTTGTGGCTTATTTCTCTGCTTTCTTCCTGCTCTCTGTTGCCTCATTCCCCTCATTCCCGCAGGCTTCAGCTCCTTTCCCTGGCCTGCTGTGATGTCTAGACATTAGGAGTTCAAAGTCTCCAGTGCTCCCCTCCTTCAGAGCCTACAGCCTTGCTTTGGGAGGAAACAGTTACGTGTAGTTGCATCTAAGTAGGAGAGAAGTTCTTGGGTTCTGCTTCTTCAGTTGTGTTAGACTTGGAACTTCAGAAATGCCTCATTTCTAGTTGTTCACAAGTCAATATACATGTACTGCTTTTTATTACACTGTGTCTCTTGTTATGCCTCCTTCATCTCTTTGATTGTGAGAATTGGTCTGCTAGGATTGATTTAAAAAATTGGGTATTCACAGTCTGAGTTTAAGGGCTGCAATGAAAGTTGCATTGGAGTGAAACTTTTATTTTTCGGTGGTGGAGAAATGTACAGTATCTTAAAAGGTGTCCACTGTGAGGAATATTTTATTTTATTTTATTTTAACCCACTAGAATGGCACGAGCATTGCTTTAAGGGCTTCCGGATAAAAGAAAAACCCCTCCTCTGCCACCCTTATGAATTGTTCTCCACATTTCACCATCTGTGAATGGGAGTCTCCATTAAATATAAACAAGTTCAGATGGAGTTATCTAAAATAAAATTGCAATTTGATTGATTACAAATTCTTCCAAAATAATGATGCCTCTAGCATTTGACTTGATAGCCTTTGATTATTCCGTTTCCCATAAATACTTTATATTGTTGCTAGTTGCAACTTTTGCATTTAACATGAATTGACATATCTTTTGATAGAAGGCTCTTCACTCATTCTGTCAGCTATCTATGTTTGTTTCATTTTCCAGTTGAGAGACAGACCCTCACAGCTATTCCACAGCCCGGTTTTGAGTGCTAGGGAACAAAAAGTGAGTCTTATGCTATTGGCTTCTGCTTATGTTCTGTAAATCAAGACATTTTCCTGACAGAAATAAGGTGGGAAAGGAACGGTATGCTTTTCTTTATCAAGTAATCTGCTACACTTAAAAATCTTTTTTACTGAGCACCAGGCGTTGCATCATATGGAGAGCGGTTTCCCAGATGTGGCTCTTGAAATAAGTGTGCAGATATATATACACAACCTCTAATTAAATATACATCATATAAGTTACTGACAGTTAATTATAATTCTCTGTAGGCCATTTGTCATTTATTTTACCCTCGAGGATACTGTTATTGCTCCAGAGTTTTGGAGACCCAGGAAAGGGAGCATTAGGATACTGTCTGGAGGAGAATTAATTTCCCACCCTGGAACTTTCCTTAAATGACCTGCAGCCATTAGTTGCAAAATTACTGTTTCAAAGAGGCGTGGGAAGAGAATTTTTGAGTTGTTAAATAACCATTTCAAAGAAGTTGCATTCTAATCCATGTTAGTTGGTGTGTGTACAAAATGTGGTGATCACTCCTCTTTCATATGTGACTCCTCATATATTTGCATATTCAGATTCAGGAAAACATGGATAGACCAATTCTGAACCATTCTAGTTTAACCACTGGGGAGATGCCACACACAAAATGAGACGCAAACTTGCATAAATGTTGCACATGCTAATTTATATGTATTGGATCAGACTTATAAATTGATGTTATTTAAACAGATAGACCATAAGGTGGCATGCCAGCTGCTAACTGTTGATAGACAGCGTCAATATTTTTGCTATCGCTTTTTATGGTTCTTTATCTTTAAATTGGATTTGAAGTCTATCCACTGGATGGCGGAGCCACTTCCTGGCAAGTTGGTCACTGTTGCTTACCTGGAGGAAGAGGGGCAAGGCAGCGGGGAAGTTGGTGTGGTGCAAACACAATCTGAAGCCCCCGCAAGTGTGTCTACACTGTTCCAAACTCCTTGCTGCCTTGCCTCTCCCCCTCTCTTTCCCAGTAAGCAACAACAACTCACTTTATGGAAGGTGCTTGCCATGCCACCCAGCAAACCACTTCTCAGTGGGTGCCTCCAAATAATTGCCATGAGCCTAATGGTTAGAACAAAATAATTAAAAAGAAATATAAAGAGAGTTAAAAAGAAGAGAAAAGGAAGCAGATTGTTATGGTTGATATTAGACCCGCGTAGAGGATGAAGGAAGTCATCAAAGAAAATGGATTTGAAACTTGGTTAAAATATATTGTCCATTAGAGTATTTTTGAGATATGTTTTTATTTTTGCTGTTCGGTTTGTTATTTTTGCTGTTCATTTTGTTAATATTGTTACTTCTTTTCTGTTCTTTTTTATTATTTTCTTTTTCTTTCTTATCTGTTATATACTCTATGTGTGTGTTATGTTTGTCTGTCAGCACATAAAATAAAATAATTAAAAAACAAAAACAAATAATGGCCATGAGCTTGAAGACAGGATAGAGGGGGAGAGAAAATGCTTCTCTCTCTCTCTCTCTCTCTCTCCCCCCCCCTCAAAATATTTTATTCTTTTTCCATATTGAAAATATTCTGCCATTTCCTTACGCTTCAAACCCTGCTATGGTCTTCGCATATGGGGAATACAATTTTAAACGAGCCAGAAAGGTTTCCAGTCTTCTTTAAACAATTCTTAATTTGTGTCTCTTATCAGTTTTGCCATATTTGCGTACTCCAAGATTTTTATCAACTGTTCTTCCTCTGAGGGTATCCTCCCTCCCTTCCACCTCTGTGCATAGAGAATCCTTGCTGCTGTAGTCACATACATAAATATGTGAGGGATATAATGATAAATAATAATAATAATAATAATAATAATAATAATAATAATAGACTTTTCCCAAGAGGCCAAAATTCTTCCTGCTGGGGATACTAGACAGAGAAATTCCAAATAAACTTTCTCAGTCTCTCTCTCTCTTGATTTTTAGTATTCCGTAACCTTTATTTGTGTGCACAACAAGGCGATTAAAGAGTGTTACAGAGCAAATAATCTCTGCTAAGTGATCTTGAGTTGCGGTTGGTTTGAAGGGGACTTGGCAAATACACACCAACCCCCAGCTATTGAAGCAATGCCCGCTGTTGAGAGAAAGCCCCCCCCCCCCCCAAAGAAGAAACGTGCAGAAGACGAACGGGGGAAACTTCCCAAACCTGCCCTAGTTAGGAAGAACCAGGAAGGGAAAGGAACTCCCCTTCTGCAGTTGTCTGAAGGCTACAAGCTATGCATTGTGGCCCAAGTTTTCACCCATCATTGACTCTCTCCCGACAACTGTCATAATGTTATTCTCCTCAACAGCCTCCTTTGTTTTGTTAGGAAATTATTTCAAACATTTCAGCTCTGATCCTTTGAGGAGGAATTAAAGTTTCGGCAGCTGGGCCGCGTTCCTCCTCTCCTCCTGCCATCGCCTCCCTCTCCCCACCCGCCTCCTTTCTCAAATCCTCCACATTAGCTAGGACTTAATTACTTTCTACGTCCTGAGGCCCAGCCAGCCCCGGAGAGGAGCAGGCCAGAGGCTTCCCTTTTCTCTCCCTGCCTGCTGAGTGATGTGCTAAGTAAGTGGAAATGATAATGCCGTGGGACAAAGCAGCTGTAATAGACTTTCTGTGGTGTGAGCGAAGGAGCCTTTAATTAGAACTGAAGGTCATGCTTGCGGAGGGATATGGTTCAAGAGCCCGTGCAGTTTGTCTTGAAGGCCTTGGGGTGTGTGTGTGTGTGTGTGCATTTTGTGTGTGAGTGAGAGAGTGAAAGAAAGAAAGAAAAGCAGTTGGCAACGATACAGAGCAATAATTGCTAATGAGGCGGCGTTGCGGACGGCCAGGAACAGGATTTTGGCTTGTGGCAATTTGGGGAGGGGGCGTCTATGCAGGCAGTGCGTGCAGCGGTGATTCTTCCTGTCCTTTTATTTTTATGAATTGCACGAGCCCTTTGCGGAGGCTCTCCACTTAGAATCATAGAATCATAGAGGATCGTCTCTTACAACCGCCTGCAACTCAGAAATATTTTGCCCAACGCGGAATTCGAACCCAGAACCCTGAGATGAAGAGACCCTTGCTCTGCCAGCTGAGCTATTGCTCAGCTTGTTGTCCTGCTCTCGGGACATTCAGTGAGTGGGTGGTGGTGCACAGTTGCTGCAAAGGATTGCTAGGAACTTAGAAAGCTGCCTTACGCCGAGCGTAAACATTGGCCTATCTCACCCAGTATTGTTTGCACGGACCAGCAGTGTTTCTCCAGGGATTCATAAAGGGTTCTCCAGGCACCTTCCACATGCAAAGCAGGTACTCTACCCACTTGAGATATGGCCACAACTTTATGTGCATTTGCCGGCACATCTAACCATGATGGCTATGCTCTGCCTCTGTGGTCGGAAGCAGTAATGCTTCTGAATTCTAGTTGCTGGAAGCCACAGCAGAGCTCCTCTCATGTTCTAAACAAAGAGGCATGGGGCGGGCAGAGCTTTACACATAGCCCAGAGAGGCAAACCTTGATGTCTGTGAAGACCTGCTCATAATCTTACACACACACACCCTCCCCGCTTTCCACCAGTGTTTCTTGCTCAAGACCTTTTCCCACTTTCAGTGTGGCTACTGTTGACACCAACCTAAAATTAATTTCCAGCTTTGTGTCCATGTAAGGACTTCCAAACTTTTGATTTTACTTCAGCTGTCTCACTTACAAAGCTTATTCTGGTTATTCTGCTAAGCACTGGAGAAGCAGGTACAGTGGTACCTTGGGTTAAGAACTTAATTTGTTCCGGAGGTCCATTCTTAACCTGAAACTGTTCTTAACCTGAGGTACCACTTTAGCTAATGAGGCCTCCTGCTGCCGCCGCCGCACAATTTCTGTTCTCATCCTGAAGCAAAGTTCTTAACCCGAGGCACTATTTCTGGGTTCATGGAGTCTGTAACCTGAAGTGTCTGTAACCCGAAGTGTCTGTAACCCGAGGTAACCACCAGATTTATATTTTCTAAAACATTGAAACTGGGACCCACTGCTGGGACTGGGACCCCCTTCTGAGTCATAGCCTGACTTGAGAAGGTTGCAACAGTAATATGACCACCACCGTACAAATAGTGTAAAATTAAAAACTGGGTCTTCCAGTGCATGTTTGGGTGTTGGTCTGAAAAGCTTAAGGACTGTTGTTCTAAAGCACAGTGGCTATGAGGTTCTTCACCCCAGTAGTTCTGGATGCAGCCTAAAATCTGTTTTGCACTCAGCACAATCTAACCTTAATGTTGGGATTCTCTCTGATCCAGACCCCAGTGAGGCCTCTGGGGAGGAAGAGGTTCAGGGCCCTATGGAGAACCCCACTCCAAATGAAGACCTCCTCAGTGGTCCACAGGCAGCCTGAAGAGCCTTATCTCAGGGATGCCCCACTTCCTATAACACCTCCAACTACATCCTGGCTCTTGCATTGATCCTGCAGCACCCACCCGCCCATGACCTCAGGAGCGAAGGTGGCAGTGGACCCGATGGGAAGCCCAAAGTTTCTGGAGAAGTAATGTTTGGTTGCTAGAAAGCTGTATCACCAGGGATCTATTGGGCTGGAGGGAGAAGAGCCATTAAGCAATGACTCAGCAGAGGGCCAGATAGACTATATAAGTTTATTATTGTGCTCAGTCTACACACACCACTGCTGCTCCAGAACTCCCAATTCCGTTCCAGATCTTCATCGCCTTTGGCTCTACTTTAACCCCCATGCCAAACTGCTGGTCATAGATACTTATTCACTTGCTGAGTTTTCCCCATCAAGTCAGGTTTTTTGTTGTTGTCTTTCTTTCTTTCTTTCTTTCTTTCTTTCTTTCTTTCTTTTTCTTTCTCTTTGCTTAATATCTGGCCTTAATATGTGGCACTCAAAAGCTTGCTCACTACTTTATGCCATTTTTGTTTATCTATTAAAGATATTAATCTTTTAACACACTGTTACTTGTGCCTCATGTCTGATCTGTGCCTCGTGTCAATTGACCTTTGCGTGCTCGAAACAATTTCAGACCTCTCCATTGTCTAACACAGACCGTGTGTGTACAGAGCCTATCTCGTGGGATAATATTCTGTAAAGGGAGGATTACTCTGTATAGAACTGTAGTCATTAACGCGTTGTTGAGTTTTCTGTTTGATCTGGAATGGAAGGATGAGGAAAACAGTTAATTTTATATTCATAAACCATGGTACGTGTGTGTGTGTGTGTGTGTGTGTGTGTTGTATTGTGCTTCTGCGCACATTTCTTATTTCTATGTTGAAAAAATAGCAATAAAATGATTTTTCTAAATAAATAAATAATAGCAATAAACCCTAGTAGTAAGAACTGAGTAAGCAAATGGAGTATTTCTACATTCACAAGTGCAAATAATTGCTCTCTAGTGAATTACACTACTGATAGGCCATTGGTTACAGTTACATGTGTTTGTTATGGACCTACATAATCACAGCTGGTACTGTTAACCAAATCCATTCATATTGAGCACTATCCTGCAGCTGCAACTGTTATTTTAACCCTCTTTTAAGAACCACTGAGGCATATCCTCCAACTGTACTGATTTAATTTAACAGGTGCAGCACCTATTTTCTAAGTTTTCAGTTTAAGTCCCTGATTCGTCTGTTCACTGGAATAGACATGATTAGCATCTTCAGACGCATCTTCAGAAAAACAAGAAAAACAGCCCGAAAAGAGTTTTTAAAACCTATGTTTTTTTAAAAAACAAAACAAAATACACACCCATGGCAGGAGCAGAAGTTATCATTCCATGTTGCAGGTATCCTGTTTGCATGTTCTCGAACGTCCGGGTGATCCAAACTGGAACACTTGTTTTTGTGTGTGCTGAGCTCTCACAGGAGCCAGCTGACGCACACCAGAGCACAAGACCAAAAAACGCATGCTTCTTGACTTGTGCCAGACCCCTCCCCGCAAAAGGAACATTCCGGGATCTAATCAGAAGCAGGGCATGGCTTCTGTAAGGTAAAAGGTAAAGGTAAAGGTCCCCTGGATGGTTAAGTCCAGCCAAAGGTGACTATTGGGTGCAGCGCTCATCTCCGCTTTTGGGCCAAGGGAACTGGCGTTTGTCCACAGACAGCTTTTCAGGTCATGTCACCAGCATGGCTTCTGGTGCAACGGGACACCGTGATGGAAACCAGAGCACATGGAAATGCCGTTTACCTTCCCGCCAGAGTGGTACCTTTTTATCTACTTGCACTGGTGCGCTTTCGAACTGCTAGGTTGGCAGGAGCTGGGACCAAGCAATTTGAGCTCACTCCGTTGCAGGGATTAGAACCGTCAGCCTTCTGATCGGCAAGCCCAAGAGGCTCAGTGGTTTAGACCACAGCGCCATCCGCATCTTGGCTTCTGTAATTCCAGGATGCTCCGCTTAAATCGGGACAGGTGAGCAGTATGCAACTGATAACTAATACCATCCATTCAGAATGACAGAATGCGTTTTTCCTGCACGCCCCACTTGTAAAATCTCATTTTAAAACATAAAGTCCATTCTTTAGCTTGTGTACCCAAAACTGGTTGAAGAGGCTGCCTTCAGTGAACACTTCCTCAGCATCCGTTATGTCTGTGGCAGCCCCTGACCCTCGTGTCTTTAGGTCCAAAAAATGAAAGCCTCCACAGAAAGTTAAGAAACTCCTTCGGCTGTTCTCGCCAGCCCTAATTACGCCACCAACCTCAGAAACCCTTAACATTCAGAGTAATGTGAGAAATCCTGGCAGCTTGACAAAGTAATAAAACTATTAATCCTTGCTTGGAGCTATAGAGGCACCTAACTTTTTTTTTCCTTTTAACGTCATCACTGGTGTTATTAACTTGTGGCACTAAAAGACTGCAGAACGCTCTTCAACATCTGACAGTATTTAAGTTAAGGCAAGGCTCAGTGTTGGAATATATGAAATAATAAAGATGAGTGCGACTTTACAGAGCTGCATGGTATCCTCCCTTCATCACATAAACTGGTGTAGAGAGAAAGTTTCTCAATTAAAGGTCAAGGCACTCCGAAAACTGGAAGCCAGATACCCCACATTTTATAAATTAAGTAGTGCTTGCAAAGTATGATGCTTTGAGTTGCTGTTTTCTGGAATGCACATCCCTGGTAAATGGCTACCCTTATTTGGAATCTATTTTTGCTTTATTTTTGCAGGGGTGTGTGTGTGGGGGTGCCTTTTGTTAGTGTGAACTGCAAAACTTTTGGGTTTTTTTCATGCAGCACATTTTGCCTCTAGTGCACATCAGTGAGTGTGCAGGAGCAGTAAGGTACCACATAGTGCACGGTCTACCATTCCACTGGTGTTAGAAACTGAGATATGAAAGCTAGGAGCATCTTAAATCTAGGTTATGGGCGCAACAACGGAATGCCTAGGCATGCTTTTTTTATAACGAGAATGCAAAGCTGAAAATGAATGAACTGCAGCTAAAATATTATGTTCATTTTTCACATGGTCTAGGCCTTTCCCCTCCCCACCCACTCCTAATATCTTCTCCAGTCTTCAGAGAGTAGCTGGAAGTGGGGAGGCAGAAAAAGGTCCTCCTTTCCTTCCACTCTGCAGTTTTAATCTGAAATCTTAGGCGGAGTACTGCGCCCAGAGCTCAGAAACGGCTCGCTTCTTGGCTTTGAAAATGCAGCAGGCCAGGCCATGGCAGAACAAATGAGTGCACGGTGGAGCCGAGCCTTGCACAATGTGCCATCTGTTTATTTCTTTCACAGTGGCTTGCAACAGTGCTCTCTCTCTCTCTCTCTCTCTCTCTCTCTCATAATAATTAATTGGGGGCACTCATACGTGGAATGTTATTTATTTTTGTTGCTCCAAGGAGCTCAGGATGGCATACTTGGTTCTCTCCCCCCCCACCTGCAATTTTACCCTCACAACAACCCTGTGAGGTAGGCTATGCAGAGAGACAACATACAGTGGTACCTTGGGTTACAGGTGCTTCAGGTTACAGACACTTGAGGTTACAGACTCTGCTAACCCAGAAATAGTACCTCGGGTTAAGAACTTTGCTTCAGGATGAGAACAGAAATCGTGCTCTGGTGGCACGGTGGCAGCAGGAGGCCCCGTTAGCTAAAATGGTACCTCAGGTTAAGAAC